ACAAACATGGTATGTACTCACTCATATGTGGATTTTAGACATAGAGTAGGGATTACTAGCCTACAAGCCACACTGCCAAAGAAGCTAATAAACATGGAGGTCCCTAAGAGAGACATACATCTTCCCCTGGAGAAGGGGAGAGGTTGAAGATCTGCTGAGAAAATTGGGAGCACAGGAAGAGGGGTGAGGGAGGTAGGAGAATGAGAAGGGGAGAAGAAGAGGGATGCCGAGGACATGAGGGAGCAGAAAGTATGAGTTAGGGGAAGAATACACAATAACAAGAAGGGAGATATCATAATAGAGGGATAAATTTTTGGTTTACAGAGAAATCAGGCACTAGGGAAATGTCTGGAGATCTACAAAGATGACTCCAGGTAACTGTCTCAGCAAAGAGGAGAGGCTACATTAAATGCCCTCCCCTGATTATGAGATTGATGACTGACTTATATGCCTTCATCCAGCAGCTGGTGGAAGTAGAAGCAAACACCCATAACTAATCACTGATCTGAACTGGAACCCTGATGCAGAGAAGGACCAGTGAAGAGCTCGGAGGTCCAAACTAGGCTGGTGAAACTCACAGAAAGAGCTGACCTGAACATCTGGGAACTCTTGATCCCCAGTCTGATAGCTGGAGTACCAGCATGGGACTGATCCAGACCCCAGGAACATGGTTTTCTGTGAGGAAACCTCAGAAATCTATGGGACCTCCTGTAGAAGCCCAGTACTTATCCCTAGCATAGGTGTGGACTTTGGGAGCCCATTCCATAAAGAGGAATACTTCCTGAGCCAAGACACACAGGGGTGGACCTAGGCCCTATCCCAAAGGATACGAAAGACTCTTATGACATCCTATGGATGGCCTCACCATCCAGGGGGGAGCAGAAAAGATATGTGACAGATAAGGTTTTAGTTGGGGGGGTAGGGAAGGATGGGTGGGAGAAGGGAACTGGGATTGTCATGTAAAACAATCCGGTTTCTAACTCAAATAAAAAAAGTTGGAAAAAAAAAGAAAAAATTTTCTTTTCAAAAAAAAAATTAGTTGTCTGTTGTTATATTTGTCCTGTGCTTACGATGATACATCTTTAACTCAGAGGTGCTAAGCAGTCTGTAGCTGCTCCCCAGAAAATAATAAATTCCTTAATATTAAGAATAGCACTGATTGGGTCAGTGGTGGTGCATACCTTTTAACACTAGCAGCCAGGAAGCAGAGGCAGGTGAATCTCTGTGA